ATTTTTCAAATATTGAAATAAAATTGCTTTCTATCATGCCGGGTCACAAGTCGTAGGTTAAAACTATTTTAAACAACATCTTTTTAAATCATGTGTTTTGTCGGGAACAAACTTAATGTTGTAACAATGAGTTGTGTCGGGAACAAACTATAATGTTGTAACAATGAGTTGTGTCGGGAACAAACTTTAATGTTGTAACAATGAGTTGTGTCGGGAACAAACTATAATGTTGTAACAATGAGTTGTGTCGGGAACAAACTTTAATGTTGTAACAATGAGTTGCGTCGGGAACAAACTTTAATGTTGTTACAATGAGTTGCGTCGGGAACAAACTTTAATGTTGTTACAATGAGTTGCGTCGGGAACAAATTTTAATGTTGTTACAATGAGTTGCGTCGGGAACAAACTTTAATGTTGTAACGAGTTGTGTTGGAAAGAAACTTTAAGGACCTTCTTATCGGAAAATACAATACTAAGATATTTGGCCAGTAGCATATCTTTGCGGCCTTCTTCAAAGTTTGTATTCAATTAAACTATTGGGGTCAAAATTGTTATCATCTATGAGGTCAGATATAGACTTATAAAAGAAACACATTAAAATCTTTTTGTGTGAAATACATGGCCAACAGATTGGGTGTTGATATGAATCATGGCCCTATTAAAAACGTTTATTTGTTAAATTGGGTTTTACGTCACACCGACAAATTATAGGTCATATGGCGACGTTCCAGCTTTACTGGTGGAGGAAGACTTCAGGTGCCTTTCCGTGTATTATTTCAGGCACGAACGGGCACCTGAGTAGAACCACCGACGTTCCGTATGCTAGCTGGATAGCTTCTTCACATAAAAGAATCCAAAGTCCCTGTCGGGATTCGAACCCACAGCGGTGAGGGGCAAGTGGTTTGAAGTTAACGACCTTAACCACTCAAGCACAGCCAAACGTGGCTGCGTTCTAGTGTGACCCACATATATCTTTTTCAGAGGTATATGGTAGATCGCTTTATCGCTACTTCCAAGCTAGTGCATGTTGCCAAATTAAAGTGTCAACAAAAGTGTAGTGTTTTTATTATATATTTTTGTAAGCGGTGCATCGAAAATCGAAGAATGTATTTTTAAAGCAAGGGGCATAATTTATAATACTTTATAAAAGTCCAATAAGGAATACTCGTGTAAGTCCGTAAAATTTAGGAGAAGATGTTGTTAAAATAGTTGTGGAAAAAAACGAAACATAACCTACGAGTGGTCATCACAAAAGCCCCGGGCACTTTATTTAAATATTTGGAAAATCAAACTAAAGTTTAGGGAACCAGAATGGTATGGGAACGCGCTCGCTACAATTAAACTTCGGACGACGGCTAAACTTATAAATTTCTATTTAAGAAAAAATCCTGGGTCCGTGAAGTATTGACTATAGCAATGTTTTTGAAATTACTTGCCACAGATGGTCATCACTATGGCATGATGTGAAGACCGCAATACACGTCATAATTATGGTAAAACAGAGAAGTCATAACTTATTGACTTGTTGAAAGATGTTGAATTAACTTAGTCCACCATGACATAATATGCGTACGGTGTGCATAGCGCAAAAGCCAGGCTTATTCCACAGGATCAAGGTCAATCAATGGTTAAATACCATCTTTCATGCAGAGCTATAGCTTTCATTCGGACTGTCTTGCTTCTTTTTTTGTTAACAATATATGGTATGCAATCAAACTCACGTGCGCGCTAAGTGCTGAAGGTGAGCCTTTGTCAGTCATGCAATGTGCTTCCTATCAACATCTCCCACATCAGTCTTGCTAGGGATTAAGTCTTATCAAAATTGTTCAATAACTGTATGTCATTCAATAACGGTATTTTACTTATTTCTAAATAAGTGTTTCATAAAAATTTTCGTATATGAATTACAGTTATAGTCTTTTGATCATCTTTAACCAGGTTTTCCGAAGGAAAAAACTGGTTATTAGATTGAGGTATGTCGGCGGGCGGGCGGGCGTAAACAATTTCTTCTGTGCGCAACTCCTCCTACATTTCTCAACGGATTTTGACCAAACTTTCACAGAAGCTTTGTCATCAAGTGCCCTGGCGCATATTGTCGGGGTTTTGGGATTAGATAATATTTGACCTAATTATGGCCCTTTGTTTTTTTTCCTTATATAAAATATATAGTATGCGCAACTCCTCCTACATTTCTCAACGGATTTTGACCAAACTTTCACAGAAGCTTTGTCATCAAGTGCCCTGGCGCATATTGTCCGGGTTTTGCGATTAGATAATATTTGACCTAATTATGGCCCTTTGTTTTTTTTCCTTATATAAAATATATAGTGAACAATTTATTCTGTGCGCAACTCCTCCTACATTTCTCAACGGATTTTGACCAAACTTTCTCAGAAGCTTTGTCATCAAGTGCCCTGTCACATATTGCCAGGGTTTTGCAATTGGTATATATTTGACCTAATTATGGCCCTTTGTTTTTTTTTCCTTATATAGAATATATAGTGAACAATTTCTTCTGTGCGCAACTCCTCCTACATTTCTCAACGGATTTTGACCAAACTTTCTTAGAAGCTTTGTTATCAAGTGCCTGGCACATATTGTCGGGGTTTTGTGATTGGATAATATTTGACCGAATTATGGCCCTTTGTATATTTTTTCCTTATACAGAATATATAGAGAACAATTTCTTCTGTGCTCAACTCCTCAGGACTACATTTCTCAACGGATTTTGACCAAACTTTCTTAGAAGCTTTGTTATCAAGTGCCTGGCACATATTGTCGGGGTTTTGTGATTGGATAATATTTGACCGAATTATGGCCCTTGGTATATTTTTTCCTTATAAAGAATATATAGTGAACAATTTCTACAGTGCGCAACTTCTCCTACATTTCTCAATGGATTTTGACCAAACTTTCACAGAAGCTTTGTCATCAAGTGCCCTGGCGCTCACTAAATTCCCATGTTTCTTCCAAGACATCATTCAAGTATTTTTTTAAAATTTTGAACATACTTTTCTTGATATCGCACAAAACACCACACGCCAATATTGTTGACAAAAGAAAATGACAAGAGACGCAAAAATGCAAAAACTAAGCAAAAATAAAGTACTGTTTACCTTTCTAAAATATTTGGGAAAAAAAGGCGAATAGACAACATAAAATTTCTCAATCATTTTTGTTTGAGGAATATTAAAAAAGCCATAATTCCTCCTAAAAGTTCAATTAAAAACAAATGCCCCTTCATGACAAAGCTTCTGTGAAATATTTTGCTGAAAACCTGGTTGCATCGCATTGCGATGTTCCTTGTTATCTATTTGTTATTGGTAAAGATTAATTACTCGTTTGAGAACATGTACCGGCAAATTCAGCCTAACTAGATCTTCGAACTAAGATTTTATATATGAGTTTACCTGAAAACTGGCCTTGGTAAATCACAGTGGACAACCATTCCTTTATATATAATTAAATGACTTTATCATAAAAATAAATATTCTCTTTTATTTAGTTTAATTATAAATTATACGACGAATATTATTTGTATATGTGTTTAATATGCAAACTATATTCGTAGTATAAGTTATTTTACATGATGCCAGAACTTATTAAACTCTAAGCCTAAATTAAGTAGATTAACAGTCAGGTGCCTAGATTATAATACGTGGTGTTTCGTGATTGAGTGATCACCTAAATGGACATTTCGTTATTTTTTGTATGTTGTTGATTTTCATGTCTGGTGAAGACTTATTAAAGTCGAAATTAGTAGAATATGTTGTGTTTTGATTTTTTACATTATAATGGTATAAGTAGTTATAAAATGTAAAACATTTATATATTTTATAAAATATGTTTTGAATTTAGAAATATTTAACATGAAAATATCATTAATTCTTAATGTAACATATTATTTATTTTATACTTCTGTTGGGAGGAAATTGTAAACACTTTCAGTTTTAAATTCAGTGACAAAGTATTCACATTATGTTGTCGTATACTAATGTTATCGTAATAAAATGGGCTAAAGAACTTTTTTTGTTTCAGATTACGCATGCCTCCAGATATCTTGATAACAGAAATGTAGTTTTATTTTCAAAATGATCCTTTAAACAATTTTAACTATACTGCATCGAGTAGCATCAAGTGGGTGAATCAATACTATAAACTCTTACCAATGTAAAGAGTGATAACGTTGTATTACCAATGCATTGCGTAACGGCTTATAATTTGAATTTTCTCCCTTTAATTGATGTTATACTTTTATTTAAAACACACTACTCATATTAAAACTGCTCAAGGATGTTATTCATTAAATTTATCAGACTTCATTAGAGATAATTTACTTCACACATGGTCAAATCAATATCTGCCCTTAAAACGCCTTTAACTGTTTCACTGTCCGCTGTTAATGCCAGCTATTGTCCCTTTTCAAGATTAATGTATTTTTCTGCTGGTCAAAAATGAGGAGAACCATCAATAACTTGTTAAATTAGCCAATGCAATCGCGCTGACCACTCCAATCGTTTTCCATTAGACACCAATGTATAAATAAACACTTAACGGCGGACAGTTATTGGCAAATATTTTGTTCACCTTAAATAACCTCTGTCCAGCGAAGGCCATATCGTTAGACGTTTACTGTACACTCGCTATGGCAAGAGGTTATGTGAGGTTAACTGACCATTGGCTATCAAGGGTTAAATGAGGACAAGGCCGCTCGGAATAAGATATGAGAAAAAAGTGAAAAGAAAATGTTTTAATTGGCGGTTATATAGGCGGGAAAGTTATCGTGTTAAGATTATATTGACAACATTTCTAATTAAATGATGGATTGAATGTAAATTGTACGCGAAATAAGGGCATTCACAATCAACGCGCTAAAAATGGGAAAATAAGCTAGTTAAATACATCATTGTCAATGCTGCATTTGCTATTAGAATGGTGCGGAATATTCTAAGAAGTTTCATTGGAAATTAGCGTAATTACAGTTTGCGCAATCTTATGTCCAGCTGTGAGTGGTTTCTAAGCCGATCATTGGATGTTACCTCTTCATACTCTATTTTTAGAAAGTTCTGCAAAGCGCCATACATACTTAAGTCATATATACAAGCACGGATTAGAAACAAAGAGATCTACAGCATTTTTGAAATTAACCTATTACCATACATGAAAAAGACTGAGTCATTTAGTTTAATAATAGTTATAATTCATGCATTGATGAACTACATCATTAACACATTCATATTTCTAAATCATTTCTGTATCATTTACTATTTGATTAAATTTCGTCTATGAAATAACAAACCATTAAAAACATGACTGAACAACTATAAATGATGTAATGATATAGACATATATGTAAATTGATATCTCTAAGACGAACAAAAGTTTCACCCAATGAAAAGACCACGATCTTCAAAAGCCAGGGTCATTTTACTGGCATCTCACAGCTTTTTAAGTGGTCCACGCTTCGTTTGGTCGAAGCGCAATATTAGACCAACATTTATAACGACACGACTTCTTTTTTACGGCTGAATATGCTACCACGTTCGAGTGATCATATTGGATAGTATGCGCTCAGCTAGCTTCAGAAAGGTTCACTGGTCAGAAACACAGTTCGCGGTGTGATAGAACTACATCTAAGCCAGTCGGGCGACGGCTAAACTTATAAAACTGTTTAATATTTGGGTTTTATTTTGGACTTGTTATCTGTAGTTATTCTTGAGACAGACTTTTTACTTGTATTTGTTAATTAGTCTAGGTCAGTGTCCACTCGATAGTTTATATGGATTTGTAAATAAAGTGTTTAAATCGACCGAAGTATACACACAACGAAGAACGCGGGGAGAAGAATATTATCCTTGTGTTTAATTGTATAACTTAATGTAACTGGGAATAAACATAAAATTTAATAAGATAAATGAATTGTGTGTTGTAGATGTATGAATCAACAAAAGACAGTACGTAAATCAAGTGTTGGGAACGGATATAATCGAGTGGTCAGTTTATTGAGTGACGAAAGTGACCTGAAATGAACCACTGCTCATCGGTCAGTGACCCAAAGGAAGAAGATAGTTATACCGAATAAGTAAAGAGATAACTTTCATTAGAAATTACTGACCACTGTTTAAGAGGGAAAAAGTGAATGATCGGCTACTTTAATGAATCTGGAGCGACTGTCCGCCATCTTGCCTGTCTTTGTCCAGACTATTTTGGCACAATTGAAGGTTTAATGTCTAGTTTCGAGTCATGTCACGCCGCAAACAAGGTCGGCCCCAACACCGACTGACCTTAGATTCCGGTAAGTAAAATTTGAACAACATTAATTAGCTAGAAATATTTCAAACGTTGCATTTCATCTACAGTTTTGACCTAGTTTTTACCTCGTCTGGTCACATCTCGTGTCCACAGTATATATAAGGCGGTAATATTAGATAGTATACATCTAAAATATGGCGGAAATGTCTGTTTGTTTGACTTGTATGTATATTAATAAAGGAATATTTTATATTTTGTTTATTAATATACCGAGAAAAGAGCGCTTGGTTTTTCATCATTATTTTTAATTACAATTTTTATGATATCAAATACGAAATTGTTATGCCTCCCAACAGTCCAAGAAAAAATATCAATAAGAAAAAGTGAGAAAGAAAAGACTAAAGTTCGTATTTTCTTAGTTTGATGGTTTAACCACGTGTAGAACTAGTTTCAAGTTGTCGTTAATAGTGTAAACACAACATTACGCCAAGTTACATGTATGTTTTTTGTAGAGCATGTACATTATTTGTGACTGAAGTTTATTTTATAAGGGAGGTGTATAATTATGTAAGATATTTGATTTTGATGATAAACTGAATTTCAAAATGCATATTTATTTCTAAAACAGTTTAAGTCATTGTTTAAAATCTTTTTTTTTGAAGTAAATCAATTCAATTTTAATGACAAAGTTTGTTTTGAGTTATTTCTTTTTGTTCCTCAGGGGATGATTTGTATATATGCATAATTTTCTTAATTCAATAGTTTGAAGATGAAGACAATTTTATATATATGTTGTTTTTGTCTATTGTTAAATATTTGAAAATATTGACTTCTTATTGCCTTTGCATCATTTTTTATTAATATTAAACTAATGATATCACTTTAAAGCTAATATAGGAGTGTATGATAATTTAAATGATATAAGAAATATTCTTACATTATTTGTTTAAAAAATAAGTCATCAAGTATTGCTATGATGTTAAAATGAATATGTTATGTCATTGGATTTAAAGAAACAATCAAAATATTGATGATTGGGATGTGTTAAACATCATACATACATTTTATAAAGGAATCAAGTTTAAAAATAGTAAACATTGTAATTTGAAATCATTTCTTCAATGCTTATTTTTGCTTTTGCATTGAGCAGTAACTTATTTTTTCCACAAATTATTTTAGAATTTTATTTTTGCCATGGGTCTCTTTTGCCATGGGATATTGGGATATATTTCTTTGCCAATTTAAAATGCATTTGAAATTATAATAAATATTAAATTTTATTGCAAAGAACTGTTTAAATAACAAAAGAAAGTGAAAATTTTTTCTAAATTTTTTTTCATGTAATAGAACACAAGTGCTAATATTCTTTATGGGTTACACTTATAAAATAATGTTTGGACAAAAAACATATTATTGCATAAAAGAAGTCAACAGATTCTTTAAAAGAAAAAAATCTTGAATTGCTGCAAAGTATTATATGCTGTTTTGTTCCTGATGTTGCTTATTTCTGTCATTTAATCTTACACTATTTTTTTCTATTCTATAGATTTTCTTATTATACTTAAGGTTTTTTCCTGTCTAAATTTTCTTAAAAAGAAGAACACCTTAATATTTATTTTTGCTCCTAATTATATTAAATTACATAAAACAGTTGTCCTTTTGGCCTGCCCTTTAGCCCAAAAAGAAAAATTAGAAAAATGTTATTGATTTATTTCTTTTTTAAATGCAACAAAAATATGTGTGTGTGTTATACATATTGAAAGGAATATCTGCTTTGTTGATATAAAATACTTGAAAAAAATCTGTAAATGTTTGAACCTTTTGGAATTCAGATATTATATTTTACTAAAATGTCTACAGTTAAAGTTACTTTTTAACATGTATATTATGATATATAATTTGCATCTTTATAATACATAATGCATACACTAAAAAGGAAGCATGCTTTATATAGGAAATAACAATAATAAATAACCATGATGATTGTTTATTGTTTATTTATTTCTTATCACTATACTATAAATAATTGTGGTGTGTTGTGTATTTTTTTTAAGATAAGTTAAAACAGAGAAAGATACTATGTAGTCAACTGATGCAGAAGTAATTGACAAATGATTCTAGAATATCACATACTCTGCTGTTTTCATAAAATATTCATAGTTTATAGGTGCTATTTTGGAAAGAGTTATTTCCCTTGATAATGATGTATATTAAATTTAAGAATATATTAATTGATCATCTGAAGAGACAGAGAAAATTCATGAAAATTTAAATAAGTACAAACTTTTAACTTTTAGTTATCTATCATTTATAAACAGCATTATTAAGTAAAATCAAACTTTACATTAATTGGCAAAAGTTGCATTTATAAAACTGTAAAACTGTGTCAACATCACTGTCTGCGAATAAAATGCTTTCAATTTAAAAAACATAATTATGAAGAATAATCTGTATGTATACCACATTCTACATTTGATACTGAAATAACACCTGCACAAATATGTGTTTAGGATATATAAATAAAATTTAAATACATATATAATAATATATTTAAACTTAATTGTGTGAAGTTTTATAATATCTAATATGCTTGTAGTAAAATTCTTCTAATTGTGATTAGTATCTTAACAGTAAAAGTGTGTGGTGGAAAAATCTGTTTTTGTCATAATTAAAGACTATACAAGTGATTATGAACATCTGTACTTAACTGATATATCTTATATAATGTCATTAAAACTTTTGTTGAAATATTTGATATTCTAAAATTTAACTTGTTATAACCAGTCAGATATAGAAGTTCTGGAAACATGTTTCAGGCTATAGTATTAAAGAGAGTAAATGAAGTAAAATGAATAAGTTTCACCTAAGAAATAATTTAACTGCAAAATGACTTATAAATAAATGAAATACACATTAGGATGTTATGATTGAATGCAGTATTTTTGAAGAAATAAATTGAGCAAACTGTTTTCTGGTTTATGAGTTAACCTATTGAAATTATCATTGTAGTAAATGTATTAATATCTTTAAAATATTTTCCCAGGATCATGGTCTGTGGACTACATGTGTAAAATGTTCTGTTTAAGAGTGATACCCTGAATTCAGAGGAAACATAAATTCTCCCAGACTTTTGACCTCTATTATAGAGAAGGGGGTGACCTTTAGTGGATAGTGTATCTGTAAATCTAGGTAAAATACAAACCTCTGCATCTAGGAGGTAATATGCTGTAACAAAGAGGCTCCCAATGGGAAACTATGCTTCTGGAACATTTTATTAAAAAAATCTGCGGTTAAGAATGAGGTCCAGAAAAAGGGGATTTTTTTTAATTTTGTGAACATGATGATCATTGTTTTTGCTAAACTGAATTTAATAATTCACAGTTGAAAAAAATGTGTAAATCATGATAATGATGGAGTATATAATAGTCAAGTTTATTAATTGATTGTAAAGTGATGAGAGAAATCATAAACAAACATGTATCTCTATAGATGAGAAATAGAATTTCACTCATTCACACTTATTTTTGCATTGCAATAAAGATTTCCTATATTTAGATTGAAGTTTTTGGACAATTTATTTACTTTAATTTAAAATTAAAAGCATGATTCTGAATAGTTCAACGTCTTGTATCATTGGTTTATAAATTATCATGTATTTTCCAATTATGATCTCAAGCTGTGACATCAAAAGAATACAACAATGTCATTACATTTGATACATATCTGATAATAACTCAATTTTATATAAATGAGAACAACATGTGATTATATAGACCAAATCATTGTTTTCATGGAAGACTATTAAAGCTCAAGTAAAAATAGAGAGAGAAGAAAAAAAGGAATCCCAAAATAAAGTCCAAAAAGAACCAACATAAAGTTAACTGAACTTTAAAGAAAATGCTGATAATATAATTGCAACCATAACATATTTTGCTTTATAAGTCAACATCAAAATTTAAGGACCAATCAGATCTCACTGCAAGTTTAACTAGCCACTCCCTCTTTATATAATTACATTGACTTAAAGCAGCTTTTCAAATATTCACAAGAAATATTAATACTTCCCTTTCATATAGAGCATTAAAGCTTAACATTCCACTGTCCTTTTTTTCTACATATCACTTTTAAAAAGCTATTCTGCTCTCAAATTTAAAGTTTTTTCAGAGAAAAAACAATCTATTTTTTTCAGAAAGATTATGATGTTAGCAAGAATTAAAATAAACTTGCAAATATTTTTTTTTTATTTTACTTGAATATTGAAACAATTTTAATTAATTTATTATTTGTGTTTATTTTTTTTTGTTTTTATTGACCACTATGTTCATGTTGAGAAAAATTAAAAAGTTATTATTCAACTTATGTACATAAGATTTACATCAAAACTTTGAGTGTAATTATGTGAACTATTTTTGTGCTTATAAATGAAGATTATTTTGCATGCTGATCTTACTTAGTTACAAATTTAATCTAGTTTATATGCTAAAGGAACAGCTAATCAACGACTCCTTCACATAGGGATTGCAGTCTTTCAATTGTTTTCTGATGGCTGAATTAACTAAACAAAACTCAAATTGAGATACCCTGAGATGTAATTTGCATGTTCTATTGATAAACTTTGAAATTTGCATTGAAAAGTGTTTCTAACATTCAATCAGGTTTTCCTTGAAATTGAAACTTTTCTTAGAGTGTAATTGATACGTGTCACTTTAAGGCCAGGGTGTCATGGCAATGAACAGTGAATTTAACTAAAACGAAGAGCCATTACTGGATTTCAATTTACATTGTTTCAAAAAAGTCTCAGAAAAGAGTCTTTAGTATTGACAATAATTCTTACTTGAAGCAAATAAGAGAAATAAATTGGCATGAAACATGAATATGGTGTATGCCATGATGATAACTTGTGCAGCATAAACTTGAAAGAGATTTAAACTTTGATTGTACTGAAAGATTTAAAGTTTTAAGATGCCATTTAAATCATATTGAAGACAGTTTTCATAACCAACCATATTGGCCAAGAAAGTATTGTTTAAATGCAACCATAAA